GTCCTGAGCAACCCCCCCGAGTCCACCCCTCCTCCTGCTCCTGTTCCTCCTCCTCTGCTGCAGATGAACCCAGAGCCTCTCCCCCCTGCCACATTCTCAGCCCTGGTTTGTGTTTTTTGGGTTTTGTTGTTGTTGTTGTTGTTGTTGTTGTTGTATTTTGTGCAGGGTCTCACTATGCAGCTTGAACTTGTAGTGGTCCTCCTGTTTTCAGCCTTCCCAGAGCTGGGGTTACTGGCACCCGGACTCAGTGCCAGCTCAGTGTGCCCAGGGGCAGGGCTGGTGTGGCATGTGGTACCAAGGATCAAACCCTGGCCCCAACTTGCCTAAGCAGACATTTAGTCTGCCGAGCTATCTCACCACCATCACCACCACCCCCAGGCCTTTTTTATTTTAACACAGGATATCAATAAATTGTCCAGATTGGAACATAACTGGCGATCCTTCTGCCCCAGCCTCAGACTGCAGGTGTGCGCCACCACACCTGGCTCCCTCCTCTCTTAACATTTTCAGATAATGTTATCTCTTATCACAGCACTCACAGACGCTTGATGCAACAACATGAACTGCGCAGAAAAAAGCCCACAAACTTCAGCCTGCAACAGGCATGGTAGACACTCAGAGGCTGAGGCGAGAAGATTACACGTGTGAGTCCAGCCTGGGCAACAGAGTAAGATTCTGTCTCAACATGAAAAATTAAAAAAGTGGACCACAGAGATGGCTTAGCAGCCTAAGCACCTGCTTAGCCAAGTGCGGGGACTGGACTCTGCTGCCCCTGCCCCTGGGTGCGCTGAGCCTGCCACAAGACCGGCTTGGTGGCTCACACCTGTAATCCCAGCCCTGGGGGGGCTGCGAACAGGGGGATCACTATGTGTCTGAGCTGCGTAGTGAGATCCTGTACCAAATACATGAAAATGAAAAAGATTCATTGGGAGACCGTTTCCATCTGTAGTCCTTGATCTTAGCCAAAAGGCCGAGAAACGATCCATCTCTAGTCTTACCA